CTTCACTAAAGTTCAATATCCACAACTATGCATTGTGATTTCCACTGAAACACAATTTTTCTTCTTGAAGTAACCCTTGTTTTTTATCAAAGAGCCTGCATTAAGTCCACTTTTAATTTGGCCTGATTATTTGCATGAACACAACAAGAATAACAATGGATCACACAGGCTCTTTCAAATCTGCTTTGCTGGAATCTCACAAGGAGTCTTCAACCTGGGCTTTAATTTAGTCACTCATGGTGTAGAAGCTGAGCCACACAATGCCATCTGTCTTTACCTGTAATACATGTAGGTTTGGGTAAGTTCCTCAAGTCCTTAATGTCTCCAAAAATGTCTTGAGGTTCCTTCCTTTTCATCTTTCAGCAAAGCAACCTTTGTTCCTTACCTAGAAAGACTGCCATGAACCATGTGACCAAGCAAGATAACAAGCTATTTCTAGTGGGCTTTTATTAGCTTCAAAAGTCTATCTCAATTCTCTAAGGCTTTCTGGTGATATCTGGAATTCAGGCATGTCTCTCTTAGACAGGACATTCCAGTTACAGTCTTGGGTAATAAAACCACAATTAGAAACTGTTTTTATTAATTTCATGCAAAGAAATATATTGCCATGATTCATTCATTAAGAATTTCCAAATTCATTAAGAATTGTCAAAAGTGGCAAACACACTTTTGAGAAACATACTTCCATGAGACAGGTATTATACAGTAAAGCTCACTGATCTAGAAAGTTTAAACACCTAAAATAAGTTAAATTGATTTGCTCAGATAGCCAAGGTTTTTCTGTCTCAATAAGATTTTCAAGCCCCTATTATATGAAATGTTAAAGGGACTTATCTAAGAAAAAGAAGATGATCAAAAACTATGAACAGCAAAATGACAACAAATTCACAACTGTCAACAACTGAACCTAAAAACAAAAACAAAAACAAACTAAGCAAACAACTAGAACAGGAACAGAATCACAGAAATGGAGATCACATGGAGAGTTATCAGCAGGTAAGGGGAGGTAGAAGAATGCAGGAAAAAGTACAGGGAATAAGAATAATAATTGGTAGGTACAAAATAGACAGGGGGAGGTTAAGAATAGTTTAGGAAATGAAGAAGCCAAAGAACTTACATGTGCAACCCATGGACATGAACTAAGGTGGGGGAATGCTGGTGGGAGCAGGGTACAGGGTAGAGGGGAATAAAGGGGAGAAAAAATGGGGACAACCATAATAGCATAATCAATAAAATATATTAAAAAGCGATTTACCTCTGAGAATTTTGTATTTTAAAGGATGATCTAGATAAGAATTTTTGGAGATTGGTTATTTGCACTTCAAAGGCAGATTTTGGTTTCATAAAGCCAATTGTCTATAAACCCTTTCCTTGAGGAATCCAGAGTTAAATTTTTTGCCAGTTGGCAAGTGTGCACACTAAAACAGGGTTTCTCGGGGCACTGTGGATGGAGACTGAATTGCATATAGTCTTTGGGGAGAGAAAACTTCTGTCCTTGTGAAAGAGGGTTATATTGGGTAACTGATGGAGGCATAAACATACTCAGCGCTCCCTAGCCCTGATCACAGACCAAAACCCAGGGTGGCCTATGACCCATTTGTTCCAGCCTGTGCCGGTTGTGTGGTCTGTTCCACAGCCTGTGTCTTGACTCTCCACTGATGTGGGTGAAGACCTTCCCAAAGTGGCAATATAATTTGTCCAGATGTGGAGCTTTACCAACAGTCAGTGGCAATGCTACTTGGGTTTATTTAAAACTCCACATGGGCGATTCTGATGGCCTCTGTTTTAACTGATCTTACTGGAGGTTATCACCCTCGTGTTTGTCACCTTGGGTAGGAAAACTTGTCCTATAACTCTGGTCTTTAGTTGGGTAAGTGACCTGTTTCCCTGCCTTTTATATTTCCAACAGCTTGGCCCTTCAGGAGGCCTAGTAATGTTAGGAAAGCCTCTACCAGGAGGGAAGGGAGCATTCCTGTTAAACCATCCTGATAATTAGCCAGTCCTGTAGACAGAGGTTAACACCCTTGTCCTGGGGTAAATTATGTTGCCTGTCTCTAGATAGATTAACAAATATTTAATCAGTCTCCAGTTTAGTCAATATAAACCTTTCATTTCTGTGAGCACTTGAATCTGAGGCTTTTTAAGTTATTGTATACCTATTGGAGCATAAATGAGGACTAAGAGTTTGATCATCCTGGTGTTGCAGGAGATAGCATAGGAAGAACTCAGATTGTGCTGCTGTTGCTGGCCTGCAGCTAGCATCCTGGTTGCCAGGCAACACCTTTTAACAGCAGCTAGAAATGAGTGGCCAAAAGGGAAATAAAGGCAGGGCCCTTGCCATTACAATCTAACAAAGAACTCAATACTGGAGGCTAAAAGCAAAAGCTCACACATTGACCAGGTCATTCTCAGCCTGGTTCCATAAGGTTGCCTGGCATTCTGAATAAGATAGTGTAGAGGCGCGGGCAGCCCTTGAAAGTCTGCGTGTGTCACCTCCAGTAGATGGGAAACGGAAAACCTTGAAACTGTGTATTCATCCCAAGGCCTAGAAGAGAGAAGGGAAGAGGGATTATAGTGCCCAAAGAAAAGCCCATAAACAACTTTGGTTAACTGTCTGCCTTCCGTCACTTGCAAAATGAGCAAATAGAATCTGGAACAAGATAAGGATTCAGGGTAACAGAACCCCACCCATACCTACATTTGGCTAGTCACATCTCCCCAGAAAGCTGGCACCACCTTTACCCACCAATCAAAATGTAACTTCTTCACTCCTACCGCACCAATTATATAAGTCCTCAGAACATAGGACTCTCTTGCTCTGCTGGCCACCTGACTTCTAGCTACCTGGCCCCCAGCCACCCTAGTTTTGCCACCCTACTTTTACCACCCTTGCTTTTGCTCTCCCATTCACTAGTAAATTTTGCTTGCATGCTAATAGGCTCACTCATCTGTAGTTCTTTACTGCATTCATGAGAAGAACCAGGGTTTCTCTGGTAACAATGGGCACAGACAAGCAACTGTGTCTAAGGTAGGAGCTAAAAGCACAGCAGTAGCGGTGAGTCCCAAGTAGATGCTCTGGCTTTGATGCCTTAGCAACATGAATTTGCTGGGGGAACTGGGACTTCAGATTAGGGGCAGAGCAAGCAGCAGTGCCAGCCAGCACCTTTCTCTGCATCCAGGTTGTGTGTGTGAGAGCAGCATTTCAGCTGGTGCCTGTCCCTGACACCCAGCCTCAGGCTGCACAGAGGCAGGCCATAGGGCTAGGGGTGCAAGGAGCCAAGGGCCCATTCAACCTGACCACACCTTAAGCCCAAAGGGACTAGGGTCACCCCATGGCTGGAAGAGGGGAAATTCCCAAGAAGCTTCTGGACGTCAGACCCAAGTTCAGTCTGAGCCCTAGAGATGGCAGGCCCACACTGTGTAGTCTGAGCCAAGGGGAGGCAGTGGGGAGGGAAAAATGGGGAAAGGAGCTGTGTGCTTAGGTTGCTACCATTACCCCTTGGAGGTGCTCACTCATTTATTTCCCAGCTGCCTGGAGGTTGGGAATGATGAGAATGTTGTTAGCTGATGGTTCACAGATGAAGAGAGGAGCTTTACCCAAGATGATATCCAGGTCCCAGCTAAATTTATAAAAACTGGAAGGAGCAAACAATCTTAGTGAGGAGTTGGAAAGTCAGCACTTTGATACATCTATGGTCCAAGCATTCTGGAGGATAATTGACAGTATAATTCAGAACTTCCCTTATTGGTCATACTCCTTAGCCTAGCAATGCTTTAACAGGGTGCAGCCAGGGCCCCTCACAAAGAGGAGTTTGTAATGGGGTCCAAAACTCAGGGTGTCCAGGAAATATAAAAGTATAGGATATTCTCACTCCCACAAGTCTGGAATGGGGGATGGGACACATGGAGCAGGGCTATTGAGAGTTATTTTGCATGTTAACAGTTGGCCAGCTTCATACCTGATATGCAAAAAGGTTATGTTGCATCACTATAACATCTGGTTAGCTTCATGGATATGTTAAGTAGCTGCAGCCATGCTTTGAGCCCAGGAGATGGGAGTGACTTCAACCCATGCTGTAACTGGAAGGCAGCTCCCCTTTACAGCGCTTGCAGGAGAGCTTGGAGATGGGTTGGCTCCATGCCATGGGGCCATACCTGCCCAGACTCACTGTGGTAGCCCAGAAAGGCTGGAAAAACATGAAAGTGCCAGCAGGTGTAGCCAGTTGTGGGAGGAATAGGAAATGGGGTTGCAGAGTAAGATTCTAACTGGGATTTAAACCCATTTATGGCAGCCATGCAGGGACTAACCATGGTGTTTAGGGGCTCCCTTTACCACATGGCTTAGGAAGCAGGAAAGCAAGATGTACCAGATATGCAGAGCTCTCTCTTAGCAGTTCGGAAGAATGTAGGAGAGACAATGCAGGACTAGGAATGGAGACAATGTGAGACCTTGGAGGGAAGGAAAGGGGTGAAAGGACTCTTGGTGGACCATGAGAAGGTTCCATGTGGGCTTGGATTAAGACCTGGAGATTGGGGCAACGCAGCTGATGTGGTGCTGGGAACCATAGGAGGCCTGCTAGCTAAGCACAGATTACTGACAGGAGCCAGGAGCTACCAGAGCCACGGACTTCTATTTTTTCACCTGAGATATGGTACCCCGACTGGCCTGACTGCCCAAAGGGGGGAAGGAAGGACTGTGTGTGTTTGTGGGTGTTTTAAGGGCCTTTGGGATTTTTTAATGGCGACATTGCATCATTACTCTAAATCTGTATAACTTTTGAATAAATAGTTCCTTCCCTTTTCACCAACCTCTGGCATTGAGAGCCATAACTCCAATTCCTGGCAGCCGGCAAAGAATCGAGTGACAGAGGGATTCCATAACCCCCAGGTCCATTCTATAACAATGCTACTGAAACAAAAATTTCCCCAAATCAATTAAGGATGTGCACAGATAATAGCTATCAAGATTTTTATTGAAGTATTCGGGATGTTTCATTAAGAAACAAACTAAATCCCTAATACCATAAGGACTTGTTGAGTAATGCATACCATGGAATACAACACAGCCATTATAAAGGAAGAGGCATCAGCTTTATTGACATGAGAACGAATATCAATAAAGGGCTCAGTGAAGAGGGCGGGTTGTGAAACAGTATGTCCTACGTTTTTATTTTTCAAACCATTATATAAATGCATAGGAAACACCTATAAAATTATATACCAAAATATTAACAAGGATTACCTCTGAATAGTGGTGAGTGGGATGAGGTAGGATTTTAATTCCATTATTTTTATTTTATGTATTTATTGAATGCTTTACAGAAAAAACATATTTACTGTATTATTGAAAGGCCAACAAAATTATTTTAAAAATAAATGCCTCCAGTTGTCCTCAATTATAAAGTGTGTTCATAAACATAAGTTTTTCATTAAAGTAACCCAACTCTCAAATAATCCCTACTTCAGAGACAGAACCTCAACTTTCCTCCCTATTATATTTATATTTAACTCTTGTTACATGTATTTAGGTGGAGAAATATTTGAGTGAGAAAAATACATTTTTGGTTCTCACAGAAAGGCCAAGCCCATATTTGTTATATTGTGGGCTAATGTTCATTTTCAACTTTTTCACAATGAATAACCAAACAGTGTCCTGGTTAATCCTTTATCGATTAATCAAATTGATAAGTGTGCCTGATTGATTAAATTTTTGTGTAATAATCAGTATATTATTTAAATATTCAAAGTAAGCAGTGTTTAAATTTATAAAGTCATCTCCAAACTCTTTTTGCCTTCTTTTGCACTTAAAAAAGTTTTCCATAGCATTTTTTCTCCTTTCCATGGAGAGTTTCATATATAACCCCTCTCCCCCAAAGAATTCCTACTATGCTAAGAAGGTAAACTAGGCTAGCAATGCCTTTTAATGGCCTTTCCTAAGTTCTTTAGTGTAGAAGCCATGCTGAACACCAATTTGGCTTCCTTAAGGTCCAAAGAGGTTTCTCTTCATACAGCAGAAACAGACAATGAATATTTTATTGATATTCTTGGGAAGGTCAATCTATTGGATTCCTGTAACTCTGTTGACCAGGAGTAGCAGTGCAGGCAAAGTTACACTTCAGAGACAGATGTGTGTGTCTGTCCTCTTTTTCCCCTCTCACCTACTCACACACCTCACTTCTGTGTCCCACAGCTATAGGGATAAAAGAAAATTGTTTGTTTAATTATCTTCTCTGAGAAGCAGGGACAATGGTATATCTAAGGGAGATTTACCTCTTAAGCATCCAGAATGTTCTTTTACATTCCTGAGTAGTGTGAATGGACAAGTGACCATAGTCACCTTTTCCAGATGCAGAGTTGGTGTGTGGCAGTAGTGTCATAGCAGACTGACAACCAGAGGTTTTGGATCTTGACCCTTCCACTTTAGGCCCATGGCCTCCTTGAAAGCACCAGCAGAGAATCTTGGCCTCAGGATACCTATGATGTCCTGGGAAGTGAGACAAGTACCACACCCAGAGGTGTAAAATACTGGGGTTTGACTAGCTGGTACCTCAATCATAACAGCAGAAACTGTTTCAGTGATACTTAAAGGGTACTGATGGGAAACATCATGAATATTAAATCCAAGCATCTCTACCATGGCATGGTAACCAGAAAACAAGGATCCAGACATTGTTTGCCTGCCTTTCCTTTTTATTTATTTATATCATCATTATCTTATTTTCTAGAATTTATAGCTGAAAACAGAGCAGAAAGGCTTTTTGTTTAAAAAAAAACTCATTACAATTTTCCATATCCTACTTTTGTAGATTGTTTAGAAGTCCCCTTTCATCAAAAAATATTCTTCTACAAACAACAAACACACAAAGATCTTTTAAACATTCATTCCCCTTGCTTTCCCTCTTAGAAGCATATTTTCAATCACATTTTTAAAAATTGCTAAGATTCTAACTACAAAAATCAAATGGGAAGAAAACATATTGTAAACAAATTAGGTCTTTTGTTTGTAAAATGGCATTTATTTTACCATGCACGTATGAGGTCAAACTGAAAAAACAAAAGTATATTTTCTGCCCATGTGGAGCTCTCATGGAGTGCGCACACAGGCTACTCCAAATACTATACACCTTTTTTTGATCAGCTTTTGTATACCTTCCATACCAAATGGCATTCCTCCTGCTATGGGTTGTAGTGGCTTAAAAAGGAAAAACTGAAGCATATCATTAAGAAAAATGCTGCGGGATGTGTCTATAAAGAGTATTGTCATTAAGACAAGGGGTGTGTGGCCTTCCATAGTCTGTCTGGGCATTGCCTAGCCTCATCCTGAGAGGAAGTCTCCGTTTTATAAAGCAGATAGCTTACACTCTTTTCGGGTTTGTTCTCTTTTGGGCACTCCTAGCTTTAATGTTCTTCTTGGGGATGGCTGGCTTGGGAGCAGGTGGCTTTTCCTTTGGTTTCGGAGGATTACTACGACTGGTGCGCGTGGCTGTTCGCTTCTTGTCCTGGATTGTTCTCTGCTGTTCCCGCAGCCTTTCTTCCCACTGCTGGGAGGCATTTGTAAACATGACTGTCAAGTACATCTCACCCCTTTATGCTATTAATCTAAAATCAGAACTAACGAAATTTTTCCACTGTTACATACGAATCATGACAAAAGTTACAATAGCTACTTTACATTGTTGAGCACTTACCATGTACCAGAGACTTTGGAAAGTGCTGAATATATGATGAAGTTTTGACATGCACTCATTTCATTGAAACTCACAACAGCCCTTCTAGGTGTGCACCACTGTCACGACCAGGAAACAAGCACACCAAGGTTATTTGCAGAAGGTCACACGGGTGATAAATGTCAGAGGCAGAATTCAAATTCACCAGTCTGGCTCCAGAGCCCAAGGCCCTAACTCATTCAGTTTCTCCCACTGACCCACTAATGCAACATTCCTACATAGCAAACCCTTCTAAAAAGGGTTGACATGGCTAAAAGCAGAAATTTATCCAGCCTCACCGGAAATCATGGGCCTCTCCCCACACTTATAGATTCACTTGATTCTCTCACATCTAATAGAAGACAGAAGCACCATCCACATCTGGTAATCCAGTCAGTGTTAGCTATCCAGAACTGATGGGAAATGTATCACTCTGGACAGTCAAGTTTCCTTGATAAGAAAGGACTTACTATTTATAGCATAAATAAATACTATTTATTTAAATAGCTGCATACAAGGAAAAAGAAAAAGTGAGTCCACTTAAATAGACATTACTTTTTATTTAACACACATGTCCCTACTTTATTAGATTGTATCTCAATCAGCGGAGTTTGAGCACAACTGTAGGCCAAGAATTCTTCAAGGCATGAGAAATACAATGAAATGGAAAACCCTGTCCCCACCCTCCTAAGGTGTTCTAAGTAATAAACTCATTACCATACATAAGTATTTTGTGGTAATATTTTCAAAGTCTTACTGAAGTATGTTATAATGTGTGTTGCCAAAGTAAGTGGTCCAGATAGCTGATTCTTGAAAGCTTTCTTTCCCTTCAGATCCTTATGGTAGACTTAACTTCTTCACTGATGCTTCTAATCTACTGCAGTCTTGGAAACCAGATAGCTAATTTTTCCAGAATTTTATGTCTAGTGACACTGAGGCATACTCTTCAGCAACTAATAAGTTTTTAGCTCAGATATAACAGTAGTGTTTGGTTCTTTTATTCAGAAATGCACTGTGTAGGAGAGGCTATGTTACATAACTCAGTATTAACATACAGTCTCCCATTTACCTAGTGTTTTATTCATGCAAAGAAATCATAGGCAGTGGCAATACCTTTGCGAACCTTAAAACAAATTCTCCTGAATATACCTAAACATATTTCAGAACAGGAGATATTTAAAAAATTTCAAACAAATGAGTTTATTTCCTAGGTTCTAGTATGACTTCACATGTCTGGGGAATAAATTGTTCTAACTCATCTAATTGAATTACCAGTATGTTTATGATATTACCACTTAAATCATGGATAGTACAAAATACAAAATAGTTACTTTTTGTATATGATTTATTTTGATAAAAGTCTTAAAATTATTTTAAATACAGGGAGAGATTCTGCTTTGTACAGTGATAGGATGAGTTTTAGAATTAGGTATTCACACCCCTGCATGTGTGAATAAAACATATGTCTGTTTTAATCCCTCTGGACATTAATTCTGCTCAAGTACCTGACTGCTAAAACAATTAAATGTAATACAATAAAGAAACAAAAAAAATTTAATCTGGAAATAACCAATAGGTCAGTATCGAATGCAACCAAATTGACTTTGAAGTTGAGAGAGATAATAAAAATTCCAAGTGAGAATAGTTATACTCATAACTACCTTTTCAAAAGAATGGAAAGAATTCCTAAATTCTACAGAATTTCTTTGCATGCATTTACATCCATATTCCCAATAAGTATAATTGTTAATTATACTTACTATGGATCTTTTACTAAGCTGGTCTCTCCATTTTTCAACTAAACAATTTTCAAGAAGCATCATCCTGAAAAAGAGTAATTTATCTTAATAAGTGACTCCCAATTATGAAAGAAGTTTAAAATTGCGAAAATTAAAAAAAATTCTTCATTGACCTCACAATCCACCATTTATTTTTTCTTAATATATCTTTTCATTCTTCCTTATAACTATATACATATTTTATTTTTTCTCATGTAGAAGTTATTCTTTATTTTTATTTCTATTTACTGTATATCTCTATATATTATAGACCATACTGTATATTTAGATCATATTGTACATTTCTTTTTATCATTGTATTATACAGGGTGGACAAAAGTAGGTTTACATTGTTCACATGGAAAATAACATAATAATAAATAATAATACAAGAATAAATTTTGTGTTTTGTGTACTCACAACTATAAACCTACTTTTGCTCCACCCTGTATGCATTCTCTGATATAACTAGAATTCAAAAATATCACTTTAATAATCAAATAATATTACAACCATGAATATCTATAATATATTCTATTTCTCCTTCTCCCTCCCCCCCTGCCTCTCTCTCTCTCTCTCTCTCTCTCTATATATATATATATATATACACACACACATATATATATATGTATATATATATGTATGTATATATGTATGTATGTATATATATACATATATATAATTTTGAAAACAATCTAGCACTATGCATTGTGTATACATGTTTTTTGTGTATATGTGTTTTCAAAATGATTGAATGTTTATTCAATTCACTAACATTAAGACTAAGTAAAAATTAAATCTTGTTTTTGGATGGGAGAATTAAGGTGATAACATTTTTAATGTTTTATTTACTAGTTGTATTTCTTGTGGATCATGTCTCTTTAGATATATGTACACAAAGTGAAATAAACCATTAAGTGAAGACAAATACCATATGATCTCTGTTATATGTGGAATATAATAAACAAAATAACCTAATGTACAAAATAGAAACAGAAGTGTGGATGCAAGGAACAGACTGACAGCTTTTGGAGAGGAAGGAGGGACAGGCTAAAAGAAGGAAGGTGAAGGGATTAGCCAAAGAACATATTTTCATGACCCATGCTCGCTGACAACATATTGCCTGAGGGCAGGAATGGTGGGGCTGGGTGGAGGTGGGCAAAGGAACAAAAATCAGGCACGACTGTAATAGCTTAAACAATACAATGGAATAAAAAAGTTTTATGTACACATATTTCTATGTTGCAGGCTTAATGTTTTAAATATTAACTTACATGAAATTTACATGAAATTTAAAAATAGTAAGATTACCATTCTTTTGTCATACCTGTTGTATTTTCTTAATTTTTGTCTTTCTATTTATTTATATTTTTTATTGTTGTTCACGCACAGTTGTCTCCATTTTCCCTCCACCACTCTCTGTCTTTCTATTTTCATTTGTGATTTCAATATATATGCTAATGTGTGGTCAAATATGTGTACTAATTTTCCCTTGTAATTTGTTTTTAAATTTATTTCCCTTGTAATTTATGACATTACTTTTAAGTTTACAAAGTATTTTTCCATTTAGATATCATACATTTATTTACTTAATTTTATCTTCTTTGATTATTTAAATATTTAATTTCTTTAATATATTTGAAATATATTTTAGAGTATAATGTGAAATTATTTAGCATTTTTCCAAATAAAGATATTTGCATCTTTCACTGAGTATTTTTATTTTCCATTACTTATATAATATAGGTTCTTTTATGCATCAGAATCTGTTTTAAGACTTTTGCCTCTGCTTTATTTATCTTTATGTCTACTCTTGTACCACATGGTTTTAACAAGTGTAGCATTATACCAATCTGAATGTCTTATAAAGCAGATTTCCTCTCATCCCCCTCTTATTTTCATAATGCTCTTTACATGCTCTTACTAGTTTATTCCTCCCAATGACCATTAACATCATTTGTGAATACATAAATTCCAACTGTCCACAAATTTTTGGGGGGAGGGGGTTTGGTCAGAATGACATTAATTTTACAAACTAATTTGTGAAATTTAATTTATTTATATTCATTCATTTGTCTAATAGAATTTAATGACTAACAACATGGTACATCTCCAGAACTGCATCTAATACAGTAGCTGATACAAATACCATGCAAAAGATAAGCTCAGAAATATTATTCAACATTCGTTCATTCAGCTGCTTTAGAGGGATGAGTTATAAGAAGAATAGCTTTAAAACCAAGAACACAAGGTGCTCTATGTGGTATGAGGAGGATACCCAAGTACTGATAGAGTACAGAACAAGAAAGTTTTCAAGTGAGGTCACTTTTCAATTTTTTTTCCTGAGAAATAGAGTCTTGAGCTGTATCTAGAAGGAACAAACAGATAAGCATTAATGACAGAGAATCAAAGGGAAGACCTGTTATAAAAAATGAATAATTTTGCTGGAGAAGTATATTACAGCAAATATTGGGCTCATCCTGGAACCTGTGCTGAAGTGTTTGAGTTTTATGTTATAGGTAATATACTGGCATATAAAAAGGTGCCAAAAAAAGAAATGTGGGGAGACATACTTTCCGTTAGAGATATGAGTACATATGTTTGTGAGCATGTGTGCGTAATACTGTAGCAAAAATTGTAAACTAAGTGTATATAACAAAAAAGGTGTGGAACTGTAGTCTCAAATGGCCATTTTTACTTGATCTGTAAGTTATTAAAGAGACCTTAAAAATTCAGTATTTACCACAGTAAGATTGACTTGAATGATTTGAAATTAATTGGTTTTACTCTGTTTATCTTCCTATATATTTTTAAATCATTTAATTAATTCTGAAATTCATTTTTAAAGATTTTATTCAAAAAGTCATATACTTTTTCTTAATTCTATGAAGAATTAATTAATATTTAAAACATATGTTATCTCAACAATGGCATCTATTGAAATAGCTTTTTAAAAAGGGGGTGCCATTTTTTTTAACCATGACTACTAAATAGGGCTCATATTTTTGTAAGCTGTCTTGCAGTTTTTTCTACCCGCCCTGTGCCTACCGTGAGCGCCACTCATAACACATGATGAGAACATCTTGATGGGGCAGGATGTGAGGACACTGGCAAGAGGAATTCGTAATGAGTGGGACTTGAGTTCGAGGGATGGGTGATGAGGACTTGAAGATCTCTTTCACATCCACCACTGTTGTTACTTCATTACAGCCACTCCTCTGTACAGCCTTTATTTTGGCATGGATGACTGAAATTTAAAAATCAGTATAAGTGTTGTTGAAGCCTTTGGAGAAAAATAGGGATAGTATATTCATGCCAACTCCTGAGCCTCTCTAAAAAAATCAGTCCTGTAATTATGGTCATGTCCAAGTTGCCCAAATGCAGAGAAAAAGCCCACAATCCCATGCTAAATATAAGGCCTCACATGTTGTCAACATTGTCTTGAAAGTTCTGAATCATGCTGCAAGACACTCAAGTAAATTGACAAGCAGGCTTATTTGGGTCAGTGACTGCTCATTGGGCAATAGATAGGCTTTGATTAGAGAATTCCATGGGTTCTTTTGAGTTCTAAAATTCCATAGTCCTAAAATTAGGTGTTCTTTTTTTTTGTCAAAAAACATGTCAGGAAATTTAGTTACATAAGACTATCAATAAAAATTTCATAGAGATAAATATTTGTTTATAATCTGCTTTGTTATATTTGAAGTGAGAATCATATATTCTCAGAATCAGAAGCCAACTTAGAGTTTGTGTGGTTCAATTACCCAACTGAGGCTTGAACTTCCTCTGTTCCAGTGTAAGTCATTAGTGTCAAAACATTTTAGATTGGAAGGAGTCTCTGAAGATCACTGTTCTCAATCTTTAAATTTCCCACACTGTCAAAGCGAGGTCTGTGGTGAGTAGAGGTAGAACTGTTATTATAGATGGCTGTTTATGTTACTGTGTCTGATCAAGCTTTAAATTCTGGTTCTTTTGGTCCCTTCCTCTTACTGTGTGCCATGGAGTTCTAATCAGACTAATATGGATCTATCTCAGATTCCATCCTTGGAAGATAGTTGATGAAGAAGCCAAAGGATTTAAATAGAAATAGTTTCATCATCAAAGTAGTTATGAGGCCATGACACCCCAGAGAACACCATGAGAGTAAAACTCAGATGAACGGACCGAATAGATCAGATTAAGACAATATGAGTATATCTACATAGAAAGGGTTTTAAACAACAGCAAAAAGCTAAATAGAAAAGAAAGTATTTTTTGGTTGAATTACCTACATTAGTTATGATGATTCTCAAGTCTGACAACCTAAAAAAAAGGTTATTTTTTCAGACTTTAATAATGCCATATTTTTCTTACTTTCATGTGTGTTTATAGTATAAAGATTCTTATGATATAAAATATCACTTCAAATATGGAAACAAAGTTAGTGAATAAAATGAACATTTTTTCCCAAAACAGTTTTGTTATTTCAGCAAAATTACTTAAGAAATTCAAAGAACCATAAAATAGTCCAAATGGATATTTTAAAATAAGAACATATTTTTAATTAAATTTACTTTTAAATAATGATAGTAAAATTAAATTTACTTAAATACTCAAAATAGAATGATTGACTTATTCTTCAAAGAAAATGCTGACTAGTTTTGTGTTTTTTCAAATAAAAGAGAAGAGGGTATTTAAGCTATGTCAATAATTGTAGTCATAAGCTCTTGTGATTAACATATTTCTACAGCTTTTTTAAGATGTCAAATATTCGTAGCTATTTATAAGTAAAAAGATACAGGGGCAGATCTTAATTACTCAGTATCTGGGCCTAAGATAACCAAACCCATGGATCACTAGCCCATCCTTCCTGTAGCAACAAGATCTTATGAAAAGAACGAGTGGGGTATGCTATCCTGGCTGAGCAGGACCTCTCACCCAGACAAGTAAGACCATGATGTCAAACTTGCAATCTGAGCCACATCACCAGTCTCATCTGAATAATTTACTTTTGTATTTACTTGATTTACCCAGAAAAGCAAGAAATTTTACAGTTGTTATTATGCCATGTGAAACCCTCACAGTTAACTAGAAAAATCACCAAACCTCTTGTTTTACTTTATGACCAGCAAATCTAGCTTTGGGAATGTGCCAAGTCCCAAAGAGAATGATCTCATTAGGTGACTTACCATAACTGTAGTTTTTGCTCAGATATGTAGCCAGAGTTGGCTTCACTTTTCTGCACTTGCACCGGTCTAAAGAAGACAAGAAAGAAACAAAATGTTGAACAAGGATTAGGAGAAACCAGTCTGGGAAGAAGGAAACTGAGCATTGAGGACAAAGAACTCACCTGGGCTTAGGTGTTTACAGTCAATGTCAAGAGGCCTTTCTTGTACCATCATTTCTGGTGTAATATCTATCCACTTAGCATCTGAAACACACACAGGGTCACATGGATGTGGTCAGTGATTTGGTCTGTTCACCCAGCTGGAATAAGGAACCATCCAGAGACATAAACTAATACAGAGTCACACACACAAACATGTGATTGTCAACTACTTCTTTGATATACATGGCCCTGGGCTTAGGAAAGACTTTCAGGTGAGACTGCCTATCTAGCACAAATTAATGTGAACTCACATCCACTTAACCTTCCTGATACATGCAGCCAACCTGGAAAAATTATGTCATTCTTTTTCAAATCCATTTAAAATGTTGATCTTATGCGTTGACAGCCTACACTAATCAAAATAATTAGAGTGTTTCCCAGTCCTCATCTTCCATTTTGCAATGCAGAAACAGTCCACGGCCATGTAATCCAGCACAAGCACATTCCTTTATCATTCATATAATTCAAGCAAGCAATAGTTTTTTTCTAAAACTGAATTAGAGAGGAGTTTCAATCTTTCCCTTCACTTTACTTCTCTTTCTTCATATTTTGGGCAATGCTGTGAGGTCCATGTAACTTGAGAAACTACACCATAATCTTTTTAAATGTGCAGCAATCTGGGTCAGGTATAAAAGAATGCAAAAATATTCTTAGGTTTTACTTCAACAAATGGATTTAAGCCTGCTCCTTCTTCCTAGGGGGAAAGAAAAACCAACCCCCCCCCAAAAAAAATAACAAAAAACCCAGCAAAATGACCAAAGAGAAAAGAAGGAAGTGGAAGATGAGATCCAGTTAACTAAGATGCCACAGATGTTGGCTCCTGGTCAAAGACCATGAAACAGACATCACAATTTTCCAGGGCGACTACATTTACCAGCTGCAGTGCTGGTGGGGAGTGATGGCTAGAAATACTTTTTCAAAAAGTACTTTCAAGGGCTAACATTAAGTGGAGAATCCTGGTGGGGTTGCTTTAAAGATTTTAAAGATTAAATGATCTTGTAAAGATCATGTAAAGTGCTTAACGCTGACTCAGATCCACCATAAGACCTATATACCTGTTTACTACTGCTACAATTACTATCCTGTTATTAATGTAAGTGAAACTGTCCCCAATGACTCCTTTTGTAAGCAAAATCCCCCTTCCCTTTATGGGACATGTTCTTCCTATCGAGAAGTCAGACTCTCCCAAAAGTAAAGTCACCAGCCCTTCCCAACTCCTCCAAACCCTCCGAAGTGGGATAAGGGAAGGGGGCTGACAGACCAAAGGCAGGTAGCTGTAGGTGTGGCATAATGGTTCTCACGTGGCAGCGAAAGCCAAGGGTGGTTCCTCACCCCCTCAGTCCTTCCCCAGGCCTCACCCTCCGGCAGGTCAGTGACGATGGCCTCCGGTGAGATACACACTCCGCGGTCGTAGACTGGAAGGTCATCGCAGGCTAGGCTCTCGGGCCAGCTGTGGTTATATATCTTCATGAGGGGCTCGCAGTCGTCCCTCGCTCGCTGGCACACCGACTTACACGGCTTGATGGGGTCGTGCAGGAACTCCAAGGTGCAGATAGGAGCATACATGGCGCAGAGGAAGAAGCGCAGCACAGCGCTGCAGTTCACATCCACCAGCTCCTCGTACTGCTCGATGGCCAGGATCGCGTTCTCCTGCGTGCTGTGGTGCAGGTGGTTGGGCATCCGCGTGATGTTCCAGGGCATGTGGCGGCACATGGGGATGCGCACCGCCTCGCAGGGAGCACCACGCACGCCCAGGGACAGGCGCAGCCACAGGCATAAAGCGGCCAGAATGGAGAGAAGCATTGCACTGTCCTCCTGCGCTGCGACCTCGATAGGCGGAAAGGTCCCTTCTCTTCTCTCCCTCCTTTTAATCTTTCTCTCTCCCCTTTCCGAGGAGGTCCTTTAGGGCACAGGGCTCCCCAAAATCCTGTAGGCAGCGACGCGAAGCTGCTGGGGCTTAAGGGAGAAGTCCACTGTCTGGAGCACAGTGCACCAGCAATGCCAGCCCTTCAGCCTCCGGGGCTTGAACCCGGCTGGGCAGCTCCAGCCCCGGACCCGGCAGCTCCAAATGCAACTAGTCACGGCCATTGCGGGACCCTATTTATCCTGATACCTCCCCTGACGTGGGCTCCTAACGCTCCCTTGGCAGTTGCAGGCGCGGCAAGGGCTCCCCCCTTTACCCCCTCCACCGCTCCACCCCCGTGCTCTCTTTGCAGAAGTGGTGACATCATCTCCTCTGGGCCGCAACCCTGGGCTCTGGCATTCCCCCGAAGTCCCACCTTTTTGGTCTGGCCAGTCCCTTCTCCTCGTACCAAGTAAAAGCCTTTGGCACCGGATCCAAAAGGGTGTAAGAGAGCACTTCAAGAGAGGAAAAGACGCTCGTTCCAGTCAAAGCTGAACTTTGCATCTTATGCAAGTACACAGTTGGAGGATACTGGGAACTTCTGCTGACCTTTAATTCTCAAAGATACATGCTTCCTCCAGTAGGGGGCATGAGAAATGCTGTGTAGTGAGATTGTGTGGGATGAGAAAGTGTGGTAGTAATTGCTGGAAGAGGATGGACATGTTACATAAACAACCCCCCCCACCCCACCCCTCAGGGTGTAATATAGAGTTTGTTTTGTTGTTATTGTAGTGGCTAATAGACGTTAGTTTGGGCTAAGGTTTTTCCAGAATGGCATTTGGTCTATTCCTGCTCCAGGAACAGAACTGCCTGAAGGTGCAATAGCATCTTTTAGTTTGAGAAATACCTTCCATCTACCAACTTTTCCCCTATCTTCTTTTAACTCTCTATTCCTCTCTCCAACATAAATGAAACCCAGGAGAAAACAAAGAAAAGTCTGGATACCACAGCCTTGCATGACAAGAGATTCCAACCCAGCAACCTAGAATCTTGATTTTTAATGTGCTTGGAAACTGTTATTTAAATTGAGTAAGAAGCTATGCACCATAGAAAACAATTATGCATGTTTTGTCTTTTTATTTTATCTTATTTTTATTAAGAAGAGGTGGTAAAACCACTGCTGGCTCAGTTATCCACAGAAAAGGGCAGCATTATTGTTGCAAGGATACGTGGATCTTTGGGCAGTAAGATTGCTGGTATATGTTATTTTCTTAGGGCATTAGAATATGAAAAACGTCTTCTCTGAATGTTAATATTTAAAGACATAGTTTCATTGGAAATCTGAACTTAAAGCAGACTGGCTTTTCTCTCCAAAACTTAGAACCACCAAGTTAGTTTAGTTTTGACTCCAGTCAGGACTCAGGACTAAACAGCCCAAGGAATAAAAAGCACAACTGGCATTTATTGAGCATTTACAATGGGCTAGGCATGGTTTCAAGTGCCTTAAATAAATTATCTTATTGTGGGGGGATGGAGGTGGAAGGGCATGAATTAAGCATGTAAGTTTAAAGGGTAAATGAGACAAATGTATTTCAGGATTCACTGCAGGAGTCCAGTTTTATTTAGAGGAATCCCTGGCCAGTCCAGAGAGGTATTTCAGTTTTCTATAAGACAGATACTAAGCTTCTAAAATGCCAAGCTAAGCTAGCAAGATAGCAAGCAAAGGGGAGTGCCCAATGAGATTTCAAGTATTTCCTGCAGTAAAGTACAATGAGACTAAATCCCTGGCTTAGTGAGAAATATTTTCAACCTGAGTTCTTATGAGGGAAGAAAATATAGTTTTGAGAAAGAGCTGAACTGCCTGCCATCTTCCTGTGAGCTGGTTGAGGAGGGACAACTTGGACAGGGCTCATACATATGCAGCCAGTTTGAAGCTGCTGCATTTGTTTAACTATGCAAGTACCAATTCACATTTCAGGTGCTTCCTTGATGTTCTCCATGGCATGTCTTTTACGAAAAGGTGAGAAGTTAAGAGTTCTTATCCATAAAGCTTTTCACTCATCTCATCATGTCAGTTGGTAGTCTGTTGGTAGTGTTTTAGGCCAGGGAGAGGAGGAGCAGTGAGGGACTCATCAAGGAAATTCTGTCAACCCACTTACCTTTTCATGTCCTGCTTTAGCACTCAATCCATTAATTCATACTTGACACTGATTTGTCAAAAGCTTGTATAACTCAGTTGGTCATTAGCTTCTCTTTGGTGATTTGCCAACTGTTTCCTTGGGGGACAAAGTCACCCTGGGTGGATTGCCACTGTTCTACTCTTTGGCTTCACTGATAGCCTAGATGCCAATGGTTTCCCATCCAGACCCCTACCCCTGCTTATTCAACTGTCTGGAAGTGCTTATTCAACTGTCTCTGGTCTGTTTCCACCTATACATCCCATAATCATCTCAAAATCAACCAATTCTAAACTGCTTTTATCTTGTATAGCTCAAGACTATTAGAATTCCAGTGGCCTGAAACCAGAACTCTCTCTGAGTATAAATCCTCCATAGTTCACTGTTCCACTCTCTGCATTCTGGTGACCACCACCTTACTTCTGATAGTATCTCTTGTCTGGATTATGACAGCATCTTCTTCCCTCTTCTTCCCTCCTTTTGCCTTGCCCTGCCTATTCCCCACAGTGGCACCTGAGTGAGCTCCCTAAGGCATGTATACCTGCTGATGCCTCTCCCTAGCTTTGAATTTATCCATGGCTCCTACCACCCTCATAATTAATGCTAAATCTTTAGAATGGCTTTCAAGGCCCTGAGTGATCTGGCTCCTTGTTGCCCTCTGCCTCATAATTGAACCCCAACATTACAGTCATTTTCTTTTGTCCCCATGTCTTTCATCCGGAAATATTCTCTCCCACTTTCACCTGGCTCACTCCACCTCATCCTTGAGATGCAGATCAATGTAAAACATGCTATAAACTTGGAAAGCAAGGGTCTTTTTTAAAAGTTGCTTCTTTTTTCTCGATTCCACATTACAGATCCTAACATTACATAGACATAAACCATAAACCCAATTAACTTTGAAGATGCCAAACTCCCAGACCCACACATATCTAGGCTTGAGGTATTGTCAGGTGATGCATGAGGGCTGCAGTGTCACTGCAAGTGTGTCGTGGAGGCAATGCCCCTGAGTCCTCAGGCTCAGAGCGAGGGCCTATTTTGTAGTCCCCTAGGCTCTATGCTGAGAACAGGAATTGGGGTGTGTTTACGAGTGATTGGCGTCATTTCTTCAGCAAGGAACACTTCTTTACATTTTTAATTTTGTGGAAGAAGATAGCAATTTTAGCAAAAAAGGAAGGCATGTGGCACGTAATAACAAGCGCAGCTGCACTGCTTTCCTGACCTTGACTTTGTTCCCCACTGTGTGGGTTACCTGCTGATCCCTTAAATTATTGGAGAAACCTATCCCTTCTCACCATCCCCTCCCCCTACGTGGATGCCCTTCAGGATGCTAGTGGCACCACTGCCACTGCATTTCCTGTTGGCAGCAGAGAGCAGAAAGCCGAAGCTTCAGTGGGCAGCAGCCCGGGCAGAAATAGCTCCTGCGTGCTTCACCAAAGCCTTCACAGGCCCCAGGCCCCGGCTCCTGGCCTCACGCATCCTGTTTCCAACAGCTGTAGGGGCAAGCTCTCACAGGAACAGACAGCAAATTGGCCGAGACAGCATTGGAGCACAGCGCGGGAGAACCACGCGCAGCCGCCCTCTGCATAGCTGCCCCTTGGACTCCAACTGGCTTTCGGGAGTTGGCGGACGTGGTGGACCCCGATGCCAGAGCGCACTCCCCTCCGTGGGGCAAGGGGGCCCCTGGGCGCCTGGCTGCTGGGTGGCCTCTGGGTTTGGGTGCTGGGTGGCCTCTGCGGGCTAGGGGCAGTAGCGATGCGAGCCGGAACCTTGGGGTCTCCGGGAACACCGAGCCCTTGCCAGGCGCCGCAGCAGTGGGAGGGGCGCCAGGTGTTGTACCAGCAGAGCAGCGGGCGCAACAGCCGCGCCCTGCTCTCCTACGATGGGCTCAACCAGCGCGTGCGGGTGCTGGATGAGAGGAAGGCACTGATTCCCTGCAAGAGGTACACGGGGAGCCGGGCGGGGGCGGGGGGGTCGGTGGGGTAAGGCTTGTGGGGGCTGCTCTGGGGCTCTCGATTTCCAGCGATTCGCGGGGCCTTCCTCCTACCAAAGAGGAACTTCGCCAGGAGGATCACTCCTAGATGGTACTGTTGCGGGGTGGGTGGAGGGGCTGACCAACCGAGGGCAGCCTGCCCTCAGGCACTAAATGAGACCTAGTGGGGCGGTGGCTGGTGAAAAAGGAGCCCAGCAGGAGCTTGATCACACTGCCCGAGCCCCGGTGCCCAGGCCTGAGGTTCTTGGAGCCTCGTTCAGCCTAGGTGGGGTATGTCTTCTGCACTGCACATTTCTTCCAGGAACAATCTGGGAGAGCACATATTTTTAAAGAATTAGTCTTTACATATTAAAGGATATGACAACACTACAAAAAGTATGAGGAATCGACCAAAGAAAACAGCACCCACAAATTCATCACCCTGTTACAACTATTAAAATTTTGGTCTACTCCCTTAAATTTTTTCAAAGAAAATTTTACATACTTGGATCAAAAACATGTATTATCTATATCTTTTTTTATATAACATAGTGTCTTCTGTGTCATTTGCCATTTTATTAGTTGGCTTCCTATCTATTTTTAATGGCAGCACAATATGCCATCAAAGGGCTATACTTTGTGTATATATTTTTAACCACTGGTCTATAATTCACCTTTCCATATCTATTGTGATAAAGGACATCCCCTTCCTGAGACCTGTCTTACTTCTGACCCCTATAAGCCCTGGTTTCTATTTTGGGATTGCCACCTGTCAGTTTTCCAGTCTTCCCATTTCTCTGTGTGCTCCTCTCAGGTTATATTAATTTTTCTGTGTGGCATCTGCCTCATCAGAAGGAGGAGCACATGGTCTCCTCCTTCTGGAGGAGGAGCACAATGTCCATGGTCTAAAGCCCCAGTGGGGAGTAACATCTGCAGCAAATCTTGATATCAAATTCATCTAAAAGCTTTTATTGAGTATTAGGCAACTGGGAGAAAATGTAGGATCCTTTCAAAGCAGTACTTTAAAGAGTACAAAATAATACATTATAAAATGTAAAACACGAGTGCTGAGGAGGCCTGGCACAGCCGAGTCATCTTGGGGTTTGGGACTATTTGTGAGGTCTTTCAAGAACACGAATGTTTTTTGTTAGA